TGGTCAATCACATGATTTCATATGAATACCACATGATTACTATTAAAAATGATCTACGGACACCCTACCCTTAATTTAGGCCCAATTCCAAAAAGGCGCAGTAATGTTATGTTTTTAATTTTATCTTTTAAGCCACGTCGGACTTTATATTTACTGCGGATTAGCCTGACGGTGTAAGGGATAATAGACCTTAATCCTGGCCAAAATTTAACGTTTTATTCCGTGATTTTTTCTGTAAACGCAGAAATTCATCCTGTACTGACAATGTTGTCAATTGTTTTGACTATTTCGGCCATTGGCGACAATGTTATCAATTTTATCAGACAAATCAATTTTTTTTGACTATTTCGACCATTGGCGACAATATTGACAATTTTATCGGACAAATCAATTTTATTGACTATTTGAGGAATGGACTATGAAAACCACTGTCTGACACTTGCTTTCGGCCATTTGGCCGGCCAAATATATATATATATATAAACTTGGCCGAATTGGTCGGCCAAAATATTGTTTGGACGATAAAATTGCCAACACTGGTTACACTGGTTACCGTTACCTAACTTCGGTATCATGTGATCCGGAAAATCTCATCTACACCCTGGATCCGTTTTGTTTAATTCAGCCAACATTAATACTATTCGATAATTTCTCAGTCAACGACCAAACGACCAACATAATTCGGACTCGAACTATAGAGACAGCGGTATGTAGTGCTAGTCGACAGATTAACAATCTTCTCAGGTATTTGCTGCAATCATCACGCGCTTTAGCCACATTACTATAGCAGGTATGTACGTACATACGTATGTACTTAACAGTTCTCTGTAAAAAGATTTCGATTAAAAAAATAAAACAATATACGTATGGATTTGTTTTAACCATATTACGACAATATATGATAATAATGGCAATTCAGTCTAGACATTTAAGACAACAATTAAACAAATATATTAATGTTAAGGATTTGAAGTTTTTTTTAAACATTTCTCCTTTAATATCCATAGATAAATGCATTTCTTTGTTTAAAAGTTAAGCCTGTTCTTTGTCCATAGTACCTATTTATTATGTAATATTCTCATTATTTAAAAATATAAATAATTTTTATGTGATAATTTGTTACCCAAATTCATAAAAATGAACTCGTAAAGTTATACGTAAAAAAAAAAAATTTATAAAGAGACACGTCCTTAACATTATAGGGAATCCTCCTGAACATGGTGCTACGTAGAAAAAAGATATTATCTGTACAATTTAAAACTTATTACCGTTACATGTTATCGTTATAATATCACTAGAAAGTACATATACATATTATTGATTGACATTTTTGGCTTAACATTAATACATAAATACCTGATAAGTACTGGTACGTACGTACGAAGTATCCATTCTACATATTCTACATATTCTACATGTCGCGTGATTAATTAAAAATTTCTGTGTAATATTAACAATAAAGTTGTGTCACAATGCTGTACGTTTTTTTTTTTTACAAGTTAAGCATCATGGCGATTTCGTCAAAGTAATGGATGATTCTTATGCATTACCTGAACCTGGTGAAGTCATTACTTACGATTTTCGTAAAATTGATGACTTTTCACAAAATCAAAAACCCGAGATAATTGATTCAACAGCAACTTTTAAATGTTTACAATGGAATGTTGAACGTAATTATTGTTCATCACAAATACTTTCTACTCTAAAAGAATTGGACCCAGATATTGCTTTTATTCAAGAAATAGATATTTATTGTAAAAGATCTGAAAATAAAAATCATTTTAAGGAAATTGCTTCTAGATTAGGTTGGAAAGGTGGATTTGTATGTGAATTTATAGAATTGGAAAGTGAGATTCGAAAAGATAGGGATCAAGGTGGTGGTGTTCATGGGAATGCAATTTTTACAAATCATGAGATAACTTTTCGTGTACTTGATCATAAACACCATCCTTTGGATTGGGAAAAACAGGGTATATCCTTGTGCGAACCGAGGAAAGGAAGGTAAATATACTTCAATGCTTTATAAACTTTATTTTATTAAAAATTAGTACAAAATACATATAGATATATATCGTAATGATATATAGGAGATTTACTCTGGTTGCTGAAGTTAAAACTCCGTTCGGTCCGCCAATCTTATGCTATTGTGTTCATCTGGAGGTATTTAAATACTCTAGTATATTTTAAATTATTTTATAATCATTAAATAATTATTTTATAATTATTTGATAAGTATTTGATTCATTTTTTTTTCATTTTAAATATCTATATTTTGTAAAGGTCTTTTGTGGAATAGTTGGAAGAATTTCACAATTTTCCGAGATATTATTAGATTCTACAAATCATATTAATTCACATCCTTATCAACTAATTTTTGGAGATTTAAATACAATGGGGCATTCAATTGCACGATTATCACCCTTATATTGTACAGATAGATATCGATTTTTATCATTAGGTTGTTCAGAATCTGAATGGTGGGATATTAACCTTTTTGATTGGCATATTAATGATGGAGATATAAATCTTAAATTACAAGCAGGTGGATCATGGATTATGGTTAATTTGTTGAAATATTTTTATTACAACAATAATGATAATAATACAAATCTTGATCAAATTTATTCTCAGTTGAATAATTATATGATGTCAGGGTTTACTTTAGATGTTTTAAGAGCAGCTCGAAATCCAGGATTTTATGATCCTTGGTCACCAGCGAGAGATATTACATTAGCCAATAAAAATTATTTTGGCTTATATTCTGCAAAACTTGATTGGACTTTATTATGTGGGTTTGAAGTTGTTAATCGATGGATTGGTAATGATGATTATTCTGCTTCTGATCATAAATATATGATGGTAGAAATTAAATTTGATGAAGTAGATAAAATTTCAAGTTCGTCTAAGAACAATTCTTGGAAAATGCAAAGATCTTATTGGAAAAAAGAATTAGAAGGTGCTGAGAATGATAATTTGGGAAGATGGTTGAAATTTTTAGGAATTGGAATTAGTGTTTCAATCTTTATTTTTAATGCTCTTCGTCGTCGCTGATTATAATTCTTACAAAAATATGATAGTATAATTTAAACTTCTCGAATAAATATTTATATATTTTTTAAATACTACTACCTATATACCTTAATGTATTAATTTAATGTAAGATATTTAAATTTTTGTTTAAAATTTACATGATCAAATTATTCTAGTTATAAACTTTGAGACTTTCTTGCTATACTCACGTTATCATTTAGTACTAATGATAAACTTGTAAAGAATATGAGAATATGATGCATCATTACTTACATAACTAAGGTTTGTACTAAATTTAATATTCATATCTGACATTATAAATGTTTCGAGTACAATTAAATAAATATATAAGTTTGATTAATTAATAAGTTGTGATAGTCATTGGGAAGATTCGAGATACTACTTGCTGACTAGAAAAATTACCAATTTCATAAGTGTAAGCCCTATAAGAGTTTTTTTTTAAAAATACTATAGAATATTACATAATAATTGTTGCGACTGATGCTGAAATCGAAGGCCTCGATTTGAAAATAAAAGCTCTGCTAGAATCCATATATACTCTTTAATTATCAATTCTATCCT